GTAAAAGCTCAGCACTTATCTGTGCTTTGGCTTCCTGCCCGCTGCCACCAGCCTGGCTGTGCGTAGGCATGTTTACATTTCCCCTGGCGAGGTGCAGGCAGGCTGGGGCTATAAAGCAGCGGCGCGGGGCTCTCGCACACACACCCCCTGTGCACACATGCAGCGTGCTCAGGATGACACAGCCCACCACCGTGCTGAGCATTTTCGCCATGTTCCTCCACACCACTTTTGGGGAAAGTGGTTGCACCTCAGCAGACGGTGATGGTGAGTCATTTCATCTTCATCTTTCCACTCACGTATGATCTTGAAAAACCTCAGTTAAGAGATCCAGAATGCAACTGTGTGATTAAATACATTTGTGTTTTAACTTCCAGTCTCTCTTTAGTGCCAGTGCCTGAGGGGGAGCTGGGGGATGCCTATTTAGTTTAATCCCCAAATCTGCTGTCCTTGTAACATTCTAATCCACATGAAGTAAGGGAGCCCATAACTGTATGCACAGGGCATGCAGTCCCAGACCTGTTAATCCTTGTTGTAGCTAGTGCTCGTGTGGGGACTTACACCTGGAAACAGGGATAACCTCACCCTTCTGCAGCCCATGGTCACTCTGAGCTGCTACTAGAGAGGGGTGAGGTTCTGCCTTCTTTTGCTCTTGCCAGTGTCCTCCAAATAAAACGTTTTGATGTAACTCAAACTTGGCCCAAACTGTTCCACTTCAAAAGCCAGACTTTTACATTTTCTTTTAGCAGTTTCATCAGCTGTACATGGGATATAGTGCCAGTCTCCCTTGTAGCATGGCTGATGAAGCAACTCAGCTAGGGGGTTCTCACAGCGCATCACTAACAGCATTCATGCTCTGCTCAGCAAATAATTCTAAATTAACAACACTTTAAATTCAGCCTTGTTGTAGACTTTATGATCTCATTTAGGGGAGTGAAAAGTATTTAGCAGCATCAAGATGAAAAACATAAATAAGCAGAATATAAAAACAAAATAAGCAGCAATAAAACCACTGTTTCAGGCTGCTATTCATTTTCTCAACAAGGAGATGAAAAGTTTGATTTAGAGATTCAGTCCCAATCTGCTAAACACTTATTTCTCTGATACTTAAACAAACAGCAGTGACAAGAATTTGTGCACTATGCCTGAAGTATATGGGCTATCACTCAGCCATTGGTAGGTTAGAGCTCCATTGTCTGGGAAGAAAAGAGTTTTCATTTTTGGGAGGAGAATGGTTGTGTTTTTAGGCTCTCTCTCCGTTAGAGAATCTCATTTTTCCTTGGGTGTTATTTATTTTAACACATGTATCTGGGCAGTTGTACATACATATGTACATAGACAGAACATGCATGATGAGTTTTTTCATTAAAAGAAAACAGGCACTGGCTCAGAACTGCATCTAACCACCCTGGGGTTTTTATTTGTCATTTATTTGTATAACTGGCAGCTGTTTAGAGCCAGCTTTGGAAATCAGCTATGGTGATGAATGTTCAATGCCAGAGATTTATTGTTGGTTTTGCTGAAATCTTCAGGGCTTCCAAAATCAGATACGATCAGACCTTTGCTTGTTTTGTCCCTAACATGAGTAAATCATTATTTCCTTATACTTGAAGACAGATTCAGAATATCCCCACTGTGCAATTAGCAGCTTTTATGACTTCTTTATGAATCTCCTGTGTTTGGCCAACAAACTAAGTAGTCTGGGGTAAAATGACCCGTGATAGATATTTGACTCTCACTCTTTGCGTCTCTGACTTGCCCTGGCTCCTTACTAAGTGCCAGTAGCCAACTTAGGCATGAAGTTGCCCTTATGGGCACTTTTATGGGCAGAGGAGGGAAGAGCTAATTGCAGCACTTGCCTCCATCTCCTCCTCTCTTCTGAGCATCAGGCTGCCTCCCAGCTGCTGTCCCCCAGCCAGGAAGAAGCGGTGGAGGCCCCCAAAAGCCTCAGGGAGCTCCAGGCAGAGCCAAGGAGGGGCAGGCAGGGAGGGTGCAGATGGCCCGGGAGGCTCATGGGCACAGCACCCTCAGTGGTTCTGCTACCCACACTTGTAGGGTTTGTCCAACCCATCTAAGCTATTGTGATAAAACAGATTCTGCCTGAATCACATCAATGCTAGAGTCTCACACTGCTCTGTCCATGGGGACAGCAGTGCTTAGCTGTGCCCCTGGTGTCACGCCTTGCTGTCAGTCCTGGTGGCTCCAGAGCATGAAGCTGGAGGATGTGAGGATGTCCTTGGCCTCTGCTAACACCCTGCACTTCCTAAAGGCTCCTGAGATTCCTGCTGTGGTTTGGACCATCCTGCTGGATGCTGTCCAAACCCAAGAGAGAACCATTTCTGTGAAGGACCTGCCATGACTGTAGCTATGAGGCAGTTTCTATCCCAGTTTAGAATCGCTCCTTCCCAAGCCCTGCCTTGATATCAGCAGAGCCAGGTTCATGGCTCTGCCTGGTCTGCACTTCTCAAGGCAAATATTACAACAGTCTTGTAAATTTTTAATTCACTGAACAGTCCTTAGCAGAATGAGTCATGTCAGACTCACAAAACCATTCACGTAGCAAACACATTTGTGCGTGGTGGTTCTGAGGTTTAGGGCAGAAGTGAGGCTGAGACTGTGTGCATGCTTATGTCAGACAAAAAAATTAGTCAGCCCATGTAAAAACCATAGCAGAAATAGCATTTCAAGTTGCTTACTTAACACTGTTCCTGAGGTTTAATTATCATGCATTCTATGGTTATTATGTTATTTCCATGAATAAGGAACCATATAATCACAATGTGAATGTTCAGTGTCTAAGTGGTAAGGTCAGCTCTCCTTCACTGTGTTGGTTAAACCTTGAATGCTTGTTTGAACTACAAGACTAAACCTTTTCTTCTTTTCATTTTGCAACCAAACTGATAGGGAATGAATTCAAATTTCTGTAACTTTTCAGCAAATCGATAGTGAATAGCTGAAATTTTTTTTGATAAGCCATTTATTGTCAGGTTTTTAAGTTGATGCAAAAATCTGGTGTATACAGTTTGCATTTACAGAGATCACCAAGCAGTCATATAGAAAGGCAGATTAGTCATCCTAACCTTTAAGTCTTAACATTGCCTTGAGTATAAAGCAAGTCTCCTGGCAATTGCAAGTAAAAAAAAGTAAAATCTTAAAGAGAGGCTTAGAAAATGACATATCTGTGCATGTCAGTTTTGGATGTATATATCTGTATAAAATACGGTGCGTTGTTTTCCATTTTAAACAGATTCATTTCAGCTTACTTGGTATCCCCCAGATTTTGAATACACATATTTTTATGCACACACTTTTACCCACAAATATGCAACTGTATGTGGTACATATTCCTGCATGAGCATGTCTGCCCTTATGGCACAGGGCTGCACTGGACAAGACTCTCACCTCTGTGAAATTGCTGCAGAACTTGTTTCAGAGTTGGGCTGATCTCTGTGTCTCTGTCTTGAATGTGATGGTTAAATACAGCAGCTGTATTTCTGTGTCTCTGTGTGTCTGTGTCTGTCTGTGTCTGCATTTCTGTCTCTGTCTCTGCCTCTGTGCTGCACAGGTTCTCCCCTCAAAGCAGCAACACTGCTAGAGGACACTGCATTTGTGTTCCTTCAGGGAGATCTGCGCTCCCTGAGCTGTGCTGAGAAGACCAGTAGTAATTTCTTAGCATAATTGCTCATGGTGACAAATGGGCACTAAATATTAGGGCATGGGGGAGAGATCTCCCTGAGGGTTCTGGATTAGTGCAGCTTCAGATGCTCCCACCTCATCACAGATGCTGGTGGCAGCAGGCCCCTTCCCAGCCTCTGCCTGCACTGCTTTCTTGTGTTTCTCTGCATTTCTGCCTGACTTCTGGACTTCTCTTACTCAAAGTCTGACTGCAGATGCAAGAGTTGGCCATCATGTTCTCCAGGACATTTTCTCCAGAAAATTTCCATTGGAAATTTTTCAACAGGCATTTCCCCACTGTGTTTGTGAGTTCTGAGTCACTGACACCCCACAGCAGATAGCAATTGGACAAGGAGGAACAGTTTTAAATGTCAGAAGGGGAGTTTCAATTAGATGACAGGAAGAAACTCTATATATAGTGAAGCTCTGGAATGAGCTGCCACAAGAAGTTGTGGATGCCTCATCCCTGGAAGGGTTCAGGGCCAGTTTGGATGAGCTCCTGAGCAAACTGATCTGTGGGTATCATTCCTGCTCATGCTGGATAAAGCTAAAAGATCTTTAAGATCCCTACCAACCCAAAACTTTCTTTGATTCTGTGATTCTTTTTCTCACTGGATCAGGTGTCCTATATGGCAAGGACCTGTCCGAGTAGCAGAGGATGGAGCAGGGGATCGAGCATAATCCCTTGACTCGGGAAAGAGGTTTATGTACCCTTAACCATTGGTGAAAGGAGTCAGAGGCATTCCTGCCCTTAGGATCCATTCTAGGGCTGATAACAATAACCCTTTCCCTATCCACTTGGCGATAGTGGGTGAGCTTTCATCAAATGAGGCTAAACTGGCATTTTCTGCCAGAAGGGACTTCTCTCAGAAGCGTCATTTTTTACATCACTGGCCTCAAACATGCCAAGTGTAGGTTTTTAAAATTATGCTTTTACTCAAATCATGATTGTGTTATTAGTCATTGAAGCAAATTTGCAGGAAGCCATGCATTCTGGCAGAAAGTCTAAGATTTCCCTCCTGAGCCCAAATTCGTGACATTTCAAAAAGCTTTCCAGTACAACCAAAATGTGGCTTAGCCGCCTCATGGCACCAAAATATTCTTGCGTGTGGGTGGACTTGGTTGGCATGAAGGGAGAGCAATCTTGAAAGGTGCAAATGTCTTTTAACTTCGTTTTGGACAAGGTTTCTCTGATTCTTACAAAACAGGTGGGTTCAGCCTCTTTCTTTCAGGCAACCACATAAAGAAACAACCTCCTATACAATGGAGCTGCAAATCAAATACACTCACAGGTTTACTGCAGTAACATCTTGTGAATATCTCCTTAGGGACTCTCGGGGATGACGAACCAGACAATTTTGACATTGATTGCTTCAGCCAGCTGGAAATTAAGGACTCCTTCAGCAGCCTGACCTGCAATTTCACCGAGCTGTCTCCTTACAACACTAACTACACCCTGTCTCTGTGGTAAGTGCTGTCAGTCTGTCCCTTGTTAAATAACATGCAGGGAAACAGGGGCAGCAAAGCTAGACAAAATCCTATTTTGCCAAGTTTGAGTACTGTATTCAGCAAAGAAGAAGAGTTTACTGAAGCAGAACATAACTCCCTAATGAGAAAAAAGAAAGAGCTGGAAGCGCCTGTAAAGGGGATTATAGTGCCTACAATAGTTCTAATCTTGCCTCTGTTGCTCTGAAATATGAAGCATGAACTGAGAGTTTTTTACTTTAATTTAAATGGTATTTTAAAAAATGTTTTTGAAGACTAAATCCTTACTACAGAAAATTCTTCAGCAGAAGGTTAATTTTCTGTGCCCGAGAAAATGCCTTCATCTAGGTTAAGACAAAAACTCAGCTATTGTCTTTGCACACAGAGACATACAAGAAATACACCAGAACAAGCACACAAACCTCCAACAGTTATCAAACACATCAGTCATCTCCACTTCCTATTGAGGCCTTGAAACTCTTTCCACCCTTTTTTTTTCGCTGTTGCGCCAAGCTGAAGATTATATTTTGTTTCTTGAGTATACAGATCCTTTTCCCATTTTCTGCTTTTCCTGAAACTGAAAGCTGTGTGGCAGCCAAAAAAAGAAGTGGATATTTTTTGTGAATCTTTATATACTAGTAGCTAATTATTTCCTTTTATTCCTTACAGTTTATTAGAATTTTTCTATTTTCATGGGACTTGTTATTGGTTTTGACTGAAGTTTTATGGCAGTTCTCAAACATGGGAACCACACAAATGGAAAAAAAGTTTTAAAACCACCATGTGATTCCCTCAAGGACAGGCTGACTGTTGACCTCTACTTGCTACCACCTAAGTCAATAAGAAATTTCTCTGTATCTTCAGAAAACATCAAAACACATTTATACTTAAAAATAGCAGTGGTAAGGTAATTTTTGAAGATGCAAAATTTTAACACATGCACCTCCAATTAAATAATTGCATTTTTTTCTCAAGAGCTCTGTGATGCTCAGTGTGATTCACATCACTTTATTATTGTGCTCAAGGACCACAAGGAAAAACATTATCAATCTCTCAAACTTCTAATTTGCATTGCATTATTTCTAATTTCACATGGAATCTCACTTCAGTGAGATAAGTGAAAGGTGCAAGCAGGATAGATCTCCTACAGTAAGTAGTTAAGTCATATTAACACTGAGAAGAAATTATTGTTCTGTCACTTTGGCCAACAGTACCAAGGAAGACAACAATTATGCCTGCTCCAACATGAAGAAACAGGAAGATGTATTCTTCTTACAGTTCATTGATATACTCTCAAACAGAGATGTTTGCATGTACTCTGAGACGAAGAGAAGGGTCTGCAGGAGTCTGGTTGTAACTGACATTGGTGAGACACTTAACATTTTGTTTAAGAAGTTTAAAAACATGGATGTTATGTTATAGGGGTTACTGGGGAAAAAATAGCGCAGCACAAAACCTAAGGGTCAATCTGGATGAAGGCAGCATAAAATAACATTTTAGCAGGGCGTGTAGCCTGGATTGGGGTGTTATCAGAGTGTGGTGTTTCCCCTGACTCAAAGCCATCATTATTAGCCTCCATTCAAAATGCGTAGCTGAATTCAGGCTGATAGTGACACTGCCCAGACCTGGACATAGACTGAATCCCAATCCAGGGCTGAAGCTGCTGTTCCTGAGTGAGGATGAACTGCCAAAAAGGGACATTTTGTTAATCTCTGACAGGGATTATGCAGTTTAGGGACTGGCCAGCCCACGGATAGCATGAGCCCAGTAGCACAGGGAGCACAAGGCTGCTAGATCTCACTTCATGGTGCATCCTGTAGCCTGAACAAGGCGCATCCTGCACTGGTAACTGTGAACAGGCTAACACTCACCAGGGACCTGCCTGAGCCAAGAAATAGGAAATTCAAGGGGATTCACAGGATTTACTGTTCTTGGTAACCAGTGTCATTCCAGGGTGGCAGAGAAGCCTGGGTAGGACAGATTCTTCTCTGTTCTTCTCTGGTGCCACATTGCTTTGTCTCTGGTTGGCAGTAGGCACTGCAGCATCCCTCTCTTGTGAAACATTTCTGCCACAGTCCAATAGTTTTGTAATAATCTTACATTACCTCTTAGTTTATGGGCCAGCCTGGACCATCTCTGGCAGTGCCTACTCTAAAAACTGTGCAAGATCTAAGTATATGGGGGTTATAGAAGGAGCAAGAACAATTTATGGCTATATGTGTTTTTCTGAGAGGAGAGAGGTGTGGGCTCTGTGTTGCTGTGAGAGCTGATGTACTTACCCAGGTGAATTCAGTGACACAGCCACAAGTGCCTGCAGGTCTCAAGCCCATCCAGCTCAGGCTCAGCTTGGAGGGAGCCCTGAGGGCTGCATTTTGGACTTGATGTACTTGCACAGGTGGTATTTGGCAGTCTCCTGCAGACCAGGTCAGATGTGGGTTCACAGCAAGGTTGTGGAGCCACAGCCCACTCTGATCTATCTAACACCATCAGAGTTTGTAGCTCCCTCTGTTCCACTGCCCTGACAGCCACAGTGGTACCTGAGCACAGGGTGCTCCCGAGCACCTCCTCCCAGCTGGGTTTTGCCAGGGGTCTCCATCTCAGAGCAATGGCTAGAGGGACTGGATTTCAGGGCTTCAAGCTGCCACAGAGGTGGGCATGGTCAGGAATTGTTTTCCAAGACTAAATGTCACACTCCTCAGAAGCCGCTCTCCCACTGGTCAGTCTCCTTCTCTAGCAGGTCAAAACCCAGCCCCTCTCAGGATCAGGGCACAAGGGTGAGCTGGGGCTCAGCATGAGGATTGCCTAACTCAGGACAGCTCTTCCTCAAGATAGGTCACCCTGCAGGGCTGTAACCCGAAGTGGACTTTTGTTCACATTTCAAACCCTGTTTATTTTCTAATATTATTCTGCTCCTGTGTTATCCTGGTTTGTTGTCATTTGCAGTTAAGCCCGAAGTACCATTTGCTATAAACATCACCTATGAAAGGGAGGCAAATGAATATCTCATTCGTTACTGCACGCCACACTCAAGGAAGAAATACTTAAAGGACAAGCTAGTGCACCAAGTAGCCTATCGGCAGAAAGAAGGTACTTGGAAGGTAAGTGGTGATGTATTGGTATGCTCACACCAATTTCCAAAATTAAACATTATCAAAATTACCTGTAGCATGTAAAAATGTAAAAATCTTCATTTCTGCAGATCTCCATCTGAAAATTTGGAAAGGTGCAATATTTGGCATTTGGAAATTTCAAATATTACAAATATTAGACTATCAGTCAAAAGAGGTTTCATTAATTTGGGCTTTGCAGTGGGAATAGAAGACACCAAGTGTTGAACCATTCTAAGTTTGCTCTTTGCTGTGGTGGTTTTGCTGTTACTGTCTGTGCTCATCAGTCAGTAAAACTTGTTGTCTCTACTTATTTTTCAAGTTTCTTCACATCTCCTCCTTTTCCACTGAATCCTTCCTGGCTCCCAAGGCAGCCCTGCAGCTCTCCCACCCTCAGGCTGTCTGAGGCTGTGGAGTGGGTCTGCCTGGGGCTGCTGGGATCTCTGTGTTCCCTCTCACCAGGGTGTGCATGCAAAAGCTGCTCACAATGTTTGAGAGCATGGACTACACCTGGGTTCCCTACTGCAGAGGGAACACAGTGCTCTCCACCAAAATCAGGTTTGTTACCTGAAGTGCAACAAGGCAGTAATTACACAGTGGAGAGAAACATTGACTGTTCCAGTTGCACAAGCCTGAGTGCTCAGTGGTATTCCACAAATCAAGCACTACCAAAACATTTTACTATTAATACATTTTAGCAAACAAAGTAATTAGTGTTCCTTGGCCACAAGTTACATACTTCTCTTACTAATTAGTGTTCCATCTTCTGTAGGTTAATGATTCTCTCCCATCTCATGCTAATTAGCCCTCAGGCTCAGTCTTTGTCTTCCCTTGAGTTGGTGGCTCCCTTGTCCAGGTGGGCCATGAGTCAGCAGTCGTGATCTGCTCCTGCCAGAATTACCTTCTAGCCAGTTCAGAGCTGATTCAGCACAGTCACTGAGTGGTCTTTATTAGTTTCTTCCTTATCTTGGGGGTTCTGCCAAATGTCCTCTATTATGGCCCAAAAATTCTGTACTCTTTGTGTCCATTACCATCACTGCATCCTTCTTCCCAAGCTTTGTTAACCTCCCCCCAGGTCTCACAGCATCAAAGCATGGCAGGACCCAAACCTTAACAAGGCAATTCTACCCACCAGTAATTTATTTTTCTAACATCTGGACATCATTTAGAGCTTGCTTATTAACTGCTCTCTGTTTCACAGATTAAATCTCCTTCCTTGTTGATTAGGCTTGAAAATGTATAAAGATCAAAGAACTTAAGGGAAAAAGAAAATGGATTCAGGCAGCAAAATATATTGAAATGGAGAGCACCAGAGCTGCACTGCAGGATTTCTGCTTCTTCCCTGTAACTGTCCTCTCAAGACATTGTCTTTTTATGCTGCAGAAGTATATTTTTTCCCCATCTCTCCTCTGAGCCTTTCATGGAAGCATATATTTCCTACAGCAGTGTCAGCTGCCACAAAGCACAGTTAATACTCGCAGCTGTTTTCCTAAAAAGCTTTTATCCAGCATTTGTCTCTCTTCTCAATACTATCTGGACTATGCTCCTGTTTAACTAGGCTGATGCCCTGATAAGCACCTGTGTAATAGCTAGGCAGATGGAGTAAACAGCACAGCATTTCAGGGATGCACCTGATCTCACATATTTTGCTGAATTCGAGGATAATTCTTCACTGTCTGCTGGAAAAATGATTGTATTTTTGTGTGTGTGTGTGTATGTTTAGACAATAGAGTCACCATACCTTCAGATAAAATTGCTGGGGAAAAACCTTGAAAACGAAGCATCGTATGAGGTGAAAGTACGTTCTCAGCCCAATGGAGATTATTTTAAGGGCACATGGAGTGAATGGAGCACTTCCAAGAGCTTCAAAACAGCAAGAGAGCAGCACTCCACCGAAAGCTGTAAGAGCCGAAAACACTTTGGTCCTCCTGAAGGAAAGCAGAGCTGGGGTCTGAGCTCCCTGGCCAGCCTCGGCAGCAGCAGGGATGAGGGAATGGGGAGGGAAGAGCCCACAGCCACAGCAGGGTCGGCCCTCACAGACACGGCACTCCAGGGAGGTGACTCACAGAGCAGCTGGATTGCTCTGGTCTGGGGCTGGCTCTCCAGGAAGATTTAAATCTCACTCAAGGGCAATAAGGTCAGAGGAAGTGCTGCCATGAGAACATGAGGGTGTGGGTGCAGAGGCAGATGAAGGCTGACTCACTGCTTGCTGCTGGCTGGCTTGCCAGGGGAAGGAAGAGCTTGCATTTTGGGTAAGGCACAGAGCTGCGAAGCATGACCCATTTCAGAACCCTGGGCTTGGGTGTGAACATGGCACTTGAATCACAAATGCAACACAGGATAAAATCTCATCACTGCACATGAATAATCTTTGTGGTCCTTGGGTCCCCCCAGTCCCCAGGGGCACCTCAGCATTACAGGTGTTAGAAGTCATCTCTGTGCTGCTGTGAGGACACAGTGAGTCCTGATTTCAATGCACAGAAGGTGACAGCACACTTCAAGCTGCTTTAATCCAGGCTGTGAACCCAGCTCGAAGCTCAGCCAAGTGCTGAGGCTGGGGCTGTCTATCATTCACCTCCTTCACGGAGGCAGGAGAAACGAGCCCAGCCCAGTGATAAGCAAGTGCAATACTTGGTGTTAATTCCTAATTTATCATCTGAACAGACATCACTGTTAGGGTGGCTTAACAGTGAGACATTTACATGCACTGGCTGATGCTCTTTGTTTTCCTTCAGACAGCAGTGTGGTCATGGTTATACTCTCCATCCTGGGATTCATGCTGTCCGTTGTTGTGATTGCACTGATCGTAGTTTTTTGGGAAAACAGGTAATCTCTTTGTATCAGAAAAGGTTTTGGAACCCAATCCTGTTCTGACAGTCTTATTGCTTTCCCCTGTTATACTTGTGAACTATTCTCTTTCCATCTCTGGAACTCTGTATCAAGCTGATGGCAAGCAAAGAGTAGAAATGAGCAATACAAGAGACAGTGTTGGCAGGCAGAAGATGACCTGCCACTTGGACCAGATTCCAGTCCTGATCTCAAAACCCTGGGAACTCCAGCGGGCCAAAGTCACCACAGAGCACTTACAGACTTAGTGTCTCAGTGGAGGCAAATTTGACTCACAAACTTCAAGCAAAATCCAGAAAAGAAAGGAACCTGCGGGTTTTAGCAAACTCCTAAGTGTGGAAACAGCATGCCGGAGTGATGACCTCTTTCCCTTTCACAGGCTGAGTCAGGGGGCTGTTTGCTCTGTGGTGCTTTCAGAAGCAGCAGGGCAGAGCCCTCTGCCTTGATGGTGCCAGAAACCAGCCTGGCCAAATCCTCTTCCAGCCAGCCACGAGGCAAGACCAGCCCAAACTGGGCCTAAGGGTACATTAATTACCCAAGCAGTCCTTGGGCTGCAGTTGGGTTTTTTCATATATCTGCTACACAGCAGTAGATGGATGACTGCAGATATGTTTTTAATGACATGGCTCACTAGAGCTGACAAGCTTAAGAAAATGAACAGATATGTAGATAACATTATGAAACTAGAATCTGGAGGGATGAAATCCAAGTTTATCTGTAGAAGATGAGCTCCTTGCAAGATAGAAAGCCCAGGACTCTTCAACAACATTCAGAGCAGTCTGCCCATGACACCCACCTCAAGAGAGGTAACTCTGTGTTGAGCTCCTTTTTGGGGCAACGCTTGGGCTGTGCCAACTCCAGAGTAACACATGGGGATTATCTGAACAATGTTAGTTGGCCCAGCCATACCATGCCACAAACAATTTTAATAATTACACATTTTAGACACTGGAGTTATCTGCTCTAGTGCTGCTTTATTCACAAGTATAGAGGGAGCTTGAGATTTCTTGTTCTTGCATTTTACTGTTGCTGGGAACCTGCGATTATCTAACTTTGCTAGAAGTCTTGCTTATATATAACTGCAGTAAAAAACAGGTGAGACTTTTTGATCCCAGATATTTCCATTTTAGAAAGAAGAGGGTTTTATACATGTGCATATATACAGCCACACAGGCACATAAATAAAATTAAATAAATATTCATATACATGTATAATTTTAACACTGCAATGATTGAAAATCAGCTGGACAACATTCTCTGGATGCATCATAGGTGACAGCATCAAGCAGCACAACATGAGAACTTTGCTGATCAAGGTAGCAAAAATGAGACCTGTAGAATAAGACTACAGGAGAGATGTCTGAAACTCAAATTGCTGGCCAAGGAATGGGACAATATGCCATTCTTTGAATTAATTGAACAGAAGCGAGTATCAGCAAATTTCCACTTTAACCACAGCATCTTCTTGCACTTAGAGAAAACAGTTTCACCACAGAGAGCCCTGTTCACACAGCTGGATGAAAACAAGCAACAAGCTCTTTGCCAGCATAATTTGCTGCATTTCCAGTACTTAGTGAAGTGTTTTCTTTTAACTGTGACAATTTGTGCGCTCCAAAGAACAATGACTTTTTGGTGACCTTTACAATTCCTCTTCTCTTGTCTGGTTTATTCTGAGGCTTCTCTGACTTTTTTCTGGATAATGCCAGCCAGCCCTAAGGCTTTGTGAGAACTGGTACAAATGAAGCAACATGAACCTCTGACACCTCAACATAGCCCTCTCTCATGCTGCTTTTTGTCTACTGTTGCTGTTTCAGGATCAAGCCTGCTGTATGGCCAAACCTTCCTGACCATAAAAAAACGCTGGAGCAACTATGCAAGAAGCCAAAAAACGTATGTATGTTCTTCCATCTGTTCTTCCATCTTTCCATCTGAGCGCAGACTCTTGGGGACAAAACTAACACTCATGAGAGACAGTATGTGCATGTGCTGCATGAGCTAGGACATCTTTCAGAAATTACTTCTACATTTCACTGAAAAGAGCTCACATTTGCTCATGCAGATGTCAGCCAAGGGTATGGAAATAACACAAAATTGACCCAGTGCCTGAAGTTTGACTTGCGCAAAATCTCTACAGAGGTCTTGGGAAGTTGATGTATGAAGAAAGGCTGAAGGAATTAAGTTCCTTTACAGAAGAAAAGGAAGCTTGGCGTGGGGAATACTATTTACAACCTTCCAATACCTAAGGTATATGTAGAGAGATGGGAAAGATGCTCTCATCACACAGCTGTGTGGAGATAGGAAACACACGCCTCTGGTAACAGAGGCAACAAGCATTTGTTGCTTCAGGGCAAACTTCTTCCAGATACAAGGAAAGAATCTTCCTTGTGAAAAGAATTAAACACTGTGTAGCCTGCCCAAAGACAAGGTAGGTTCCCCTTTGGGGATATGTTTAAGGCATGGCTTGATAGGGCTCTGAGCAGCCTAATCCAGGTCCTGCCTCTGGCAGAAAGCTGGACTCCACAGCTCCTTTCCAACCAAGCTGCTTTGGTGATTCTACAAAACTGTGATCATGAGGCTGGATGGCGACCTCTTGCAAACATCCCTGGTGGTGTCCATGCACCCTGACATGGTCAGTAGCATTGTTCATACATCATGCAGTATGTGAACTGCTTTGCCAGTTAAAAGCCAGTTGGATGAGTAAGGCATTAGTGCTGTTCATTCCATGTACATTATTATCATGTTCTTAATTTCATAGGAGGCTTAACACAGCTCCCCCAGCCCCTGTGCTCCCCAGCTGAGGGATTCCTAACGTTTTTCAGGAAGTCGTGGCAAATTTTTACTTCCCTTGCTGCTAAATTAGGAAGGCAAAACTGAAAGAAACCACCTGGGTGGGCACACTCCTTCCTGTGAAATGGCAGGCAGGCAATAAATGTGTCTCACAAAAGTCTCTGAAACACTGTCTAGAGCATAAAACACTCTCTGGGGGTACTGCCCAGAGGAGGACACTGGATGAATGAAGTTAATAGAAAAAGGGATTTTCAGCCATGTGATAATTTATTCTGTGCTAACCTATTGTTCAGCCTGCTCAGGGTTACATCTGGAGTTAAAGAAATAATAAATACCCTTCTAAAATAAATTATCACAGTATCTTTTATCTTAAGCTAACACCCACTGTTGACTAACTGTGCTGTTCCCTTTGCCACACAGAATTTTGATATAAGCTTTAACCCAGAGAGCTTTGGTTATGTTCATATCCATAAAGTGGATGGCCTTTGGGCAAAAGCTGAACTGGAAAATTTTCTGCAGCCATCAACTGCTCCAGAGACAAGCCTTCCAGAAAAATTCAGGAGTGGATCAGACCTGAAGGTGATCCCTGCGATGGCAGACAAAACCAGCCCAAACCTGCCGGTGTCTTACGAAGGGGCCTGGCCGGCTGACGCCCTGCACAGGCTGCTGGGCCCCGGCCAGTTTGCAGTCACCGAGGGCAGCTGCAGCTCCAGCACCTATGAGCTTTGCCACGGCAACAGGGTGCCCCTGCACCACGATGGTTTCAGCCTTTCCTCCACCCGTGCCCTGGATCCTTCGGGGCAGCCCCATCCAGAGCCCCTGAACGGCGACACCCGGCGCCAGATGCTGCCTCACAGTGACATGAGATCACCCAGCAATGAGGAAGCCTACGTCACAATGTCCAACTTCTACAAAATCCAGTAGATTTCACAAGAATTACAGCATGCAGTTTTTTCTCCAGCACATGCAGGATACTGAAGGTTCCTGGCTCTGTTTTCCCGTATCCTGAGCATTCCCACCTCCCTCGCCCGCTCTGCTCACGGTGCAACCTGCAGGGAATGGGGATCTCCTACACTGCAGTGAGAAGCAGCCCATCTCAGCATTCAGTATGCTGCCAGCAGTCTTCACTGCAGCAGAAATTAAATTTAATTCAGCCTGATTCCGATCTTCAAGTCTGTGTAATCCAGAGCAGTGACAATGCAGTCCCAGCCGAGGATCACAGCATGTCTCCTAGAAATTAATGAACTCTTTTGTTACCCTCTTGGTTACAAAGTTAAGCTCTTAGTAATGCCTTAGCAAGAAATATGGCAATAAATTCCTTTTAAATAGAACCCAACCTCTTTTAAACACTCGTGGGTCAAGACTAACTCCCCCCCAGACAGTCAAAAGACAGTAAAAAGACAAAAGAGACAGGAAATTAGAGTTGCTATCAAATATTAGATGCCTGGCAATTCAGGCAGCTTGAGCACCACAATGAGAGTTGGCTGAGTGCCCAGCAAAAATGTTACATGGGCCCACCTGAGGAAGATGTTTCCTGAGATGGATTTAGTTTTTGGTTTGGTTGTTTTTGTTTTGGGGTTTTTTTGGGTGGGGGTTTTGAGACTCAAATTAAAACAAAGCAAACCCTAAATGCCACTACTTTTTTGCTATTGGCAAAGATCTGCCCTTAAGCCAGTTACAGGATGCACAGGTGCTTTGGCTAATACTTTGAGGTCTTCAACATTTCATGTACCAACTATGAGAAGCAAAGTCCTTTCTCTTCCTAGGGGCTGAATTAGGTCTGTAAATTGCATGATACTCTCCTTTTCTGCAGCTCTTATGCAATTATTAGTGAAGCATAAGTGCTTTCCATGCCAGAGACTGGGCTGACCATGTTTGTTTACTAGCATTATTCCCAATGGCTGTGACTGCACACAAGTACTATGAATTTGGACAGGCAATGTTCTCTTTTATTCTTTTTTTTTTTTTTTTTTAGTTTTTAAATTTTTTTTTCATTGTGACTTTTTTTCTTTATGGTATTACATTTATTATATATTTTACATTATGGCTGAGCCACTTCACAGTCCTCTTTGGATGCTGCACATTCTGGAGCACACACTTGGAGGTAAAGCTGCTACAGCCACATGGTTGCATGACAGCAAAGCGTGTGGCCATGGGACATACAAGCTGCTTTCTTGCACTCTGGACTCAGGGTTCGCCTCACTGTGCAGTCTCAGTTCCTCCAGTTCTTTGAAATTCTCCTTTGCCTAGTTATATTCACATTCCCAGAGCCTGAAGGGTGAAAAGAGTCCTCTCTTATCCTCAGAGGATGAGATGCTCATTTGTTCTGACTCGTAATGGTCACAGAGATGTCGCAAAACTTCAGCTGCTTCCATCTGCCTCTGCCAAGACAGCTTTGTGCCAGGAGAGCAGCAGAATGAATCTGATCACTGAAAATCTCTTGTGGCCCTGTTTCAAGAATATATGGCAGAGAGTGAGGCTTGCATTAAACTCAGTTGCTTGAATTAGAATTGAATGCTGCAGGAGACAGTACAAACCAAACAGCAATTCTGGAGCACATCAAGCCAAAACCAGCCTTCCCAAGACAGCACTCCACCTCCTCCACCTCCACCCAGCGCAAGGGAAACTTTCAAGTGGGGAGAGCTTAACAGCTACTGTGTGCAAAGGGGCCTCAGATTTGGCTCAAGGCATTCCAGTGACATTTTACAGAATGGTTTTTATTGCTGTTCACCGCCAAATGGAGCATTAATTGATGCAGAAGAAAAAGACCAAAGCCCTGGGCATTCATTTTCTTTATAGTGCTTGTGTTTTTTTTCAAACAGAGCTGCTGATAATGCTTATACTGTAAGAAATTGCACAGTGTGACTGTAGATACAGACAGACTATACTAGAATGATACCTTCTTCCATGACACAGTGACAAACAAAAAGGGGATAGAGGAAGAAGCAAAAAAGCACATCAGGAAAGTCTTCTGCAGTATGTGCTATGCTTCCTTCAATTTTTGTAATTCTGTATTTCTGTAATATATTTGTTGGATGTATGCAGATATAACCACTTTCAGCTTTATTTCAGGAAAAAAAATTAAAGCCAAATATGCACCAAAGCCGAAACACCACAAGCATTTCCTGTCTGTTGCCAAGTTATATAGAGTCCATATATGAGGAGACAGCCACGGCTATGTCTGGACAATCTGTCAAGTAGTCTCCTTACTCTACATGACAATTTCTCCAGAGCTGTCCACAGATTCCCATCTGCCTCAGCAATCACACAGGAGTTGTGCTCAGCTTTCACATACTCCATGCACTTCCTTTAGCTCAGCACAACTTTCCTTCTCCCCCTTCTGCCCCCGGTGCCCTTGCTCAGCTGCACACCCAGAGCCAGCCTGCTGGCACTGGTTTCTCTGTAGCTGCAGTATGACACAGTGCCTGGAGCTGCCTGCTCCTCCCTGCTGTGTGCCCGTGGGGCTCCAGCCCCTCTCCTGTCCCCCTGTCGTGGGGACACACAGACACCCTCCCATCTTTGCTTCTCCCCTCTCCTGTGTGCAGCCCATGCAAACACCTCCCAGCACTGCGAGCGCTCCTCTCCTGCACTATGCAAACGTCTCTTAGCTGTACACAAACAAACTTGGGCTATTGTCAGTTATAACAATGAGTCATGGTCTAATTCTAATGATGCTGTAAAATGCTAATTACATCTCAAGGCAATAGTCATCCCTGGCTAAAAGCTTTAGTTTGTTTACCACATCTCCTCCCCTTGCGCACATTCATTAGACAGGCTGAAAAAACACACACAAATGCTGTGTGTGTCGGTGGGGCAGCAGAGGACCATCTAGCTAAGTGTGGGGAGGCAGGAGGGCTGCTTCTGCCAGGGTGGAGGGATGGCTAAATGCCTGTGATGGGCAGTGAAATCTGGGCTACAAAATAAACATTGTCCCTGCACTGCTGCAGGGACCTGTGGCTGAGTCCAGGGCAATTGTTGGCAGGCAGAAGCTGACTATGAAACCATCTCTCCTGGCAGCAAAGGATGTGGTGATGCTGGCAGGGCATTTCTGCAGGGCAGGAGTACAGCCCCTGCTCAGCTTCTTAGCAGGAGTGTTTATTGATTTGAAGGCCTGTCTTGGTACAGCAATACAGCAGTGCTGCAACCTGGGGGGAGAAGCAGTAGGGTTTTAGTCAATACACTTTTAAATCAAGCTAGTTATCTCTGGGGTTGTGGGGTTTCTGAAGCTATCATTTAAAAACAGATAAATCGTGATATAAAGAAGACTTAGCACCTCTGTGAGGAATTATTGTAGAGACAAACACCTCCTTATTACTGTGATCATGAAGCCGCCCAAATTAACAATCCTGTGTTTCACAGAGCATTGGCAAAACAAATCTAATGCGCAGACACACAAGAAAACAACTGATAATGCCAGAAAATGCAATTGCTAAATTATACCGACTCTATCATCCCTTGCTCACGCGGCAGCTCCAGGTTTCAGCCAGGATCGCTTTTCCTTGGCTTCCAAGCGCCACCTGCTGAAACACGAGGCGTGTCAGAGCCCAGCCCTTGGACACTCGCTGCTGCCATCACATCGTGCAGCTCCAGAAGCGCTGCTCAGATCGGACCTGGGGGGAAAAAACAAGCCCACAACAAGCTATGCAGTATTTCACTTACTTGTAGTCTGTGGTCCTAATGATGTTTGGGCAAATAAAAGCAAAAGACAGAGTTTCCAGGATTTCTTCATCTTTAAAATGAAGTAGGCAGCAGTGTCCACAGAAGAACTAACTCCATAGCAGTAACTCAGAAATTCATCTTTTGTTACCTAAGAATGAGAAAACCAGTGTTTAAAGGGTGATGGCTGTAGATTGTGGCTCAACAGACTCTATATTTTGCAAAACTTCTTTTGCATCTTCCAGGGAACTCTGAGTTTTACATGTATTGCTGCAGCAAGCTCCAACACAGAATTTAGCTGAATGACACTAAGACCAATGGATTGAGATTCTTTCTCTGGGAAACAGGGCTGCTGCTACGGGCTAAAAAAAAAAAAAAAAAAAAGTTTTCCGAGTTACTGTTAAATACTGATGGCATAACTTATATGTCACAGCAAAATTAGATTAGATTAGTCCAAGATCAGGACCACCACTGAATGAATATAAAAAGCCCCAAAAACCCCAAAGTTTTGTCAAGCAACATAAAAAATGAGACACAAAGCAGAAATGCATTGATGAAAATGTCTAAAGGAATAAATCTATGCCTCAAAGTTGGAGCTTCTCCAAAACAGTCTGACAACTGTTTTTCCAGAAAATGTACATAAGCTGAAAAAAACCATGCCACCTTTTGAAAGTAAAAAATCCCAACCAACAAAAGAAAAAAAACAACCAACAAAACCCAACAAAAAAATTGTTTTAATGAAAAAAGGAACAGAATTTATCTCAGGAAAATAAACACTTCCCACATTTTACCACAATCTCTGCTTTTCCACAGAAAACCAGACTTGATTCAACTTCCACAAAACCTTGCACTTCCTTTCTTTCCAAGATATTCAACAAAGGCTGGATCCTGTCCCCAGCCTCCAGCTGCAGCTCCTGTTGGGATCAGCAGCAGTGCTTGAGCTGGGGGGAAGCCTGGATCCATGTTTTTGTGGAGCTGGGGCTGCTGTACCTGGCGTGGCTGCAAACCTCCAGGCATGAGTGTGGAAGAGGTGCTGGAGCCCAAACCAAGCTCGCTTTAAAACCACAGGGGTTTCAGACTCTGCTGAGGCACACCAGTATGGCCAGGGGATGCTGCAAACAGAGGGGCAGCTCTCAGCCACCTGAGGGCTTGGTGTTGAGCACTGGCTACTGGGAGTCCTGCTTTCTGCTCACCCTACAAGGGGGGAAAGCTAAAGAAACAGGGTGAGCGTAATCACAGTGACAACAGACAGTAGCAGCTGCTGGCAG